AACACCAACAACAACAACAACAATCATTTTCAGACTGTTCGCTCTTATCTGCTCGAGTGTCCGTTCACCCGTACTTCCCAAACCCTCGATACCCGCCCTTTTCGTCTTCGATCGTACCCCTGATGGGGGGTAGACCTTTCCTTCCTGCAGGCCGGGCCCCGGCAAGCGCCGGGGCGGCCGCGGACGCCTGGCCCTGGCCAGCGGCTGCTTTGATCGGCGGCAACCCGACCCCAAGAAGCACGGACAGGGGACCGACCACGACGACGACGACGTCGACGACGACGACGGCGACGACGACGACGGCGACGACGACGGCAAGCGAAAGCGAGAGCGAGAGAGAAAACGACAGCAGGGCCACGAAAGGCACTAAGTAGGCCACGAAGGGCGACAGCGGGGACACGAAGGGAATGCGTATGCCACGAAGAGCGCGAACAAGCGGGGGCCACGAAGCGCAGATAATGCGGAGCCACAGAGGGCAACGACGGGGCCACTGAGGGTAGCAACTGGGCCACGTAGGACAGCGACGGGGCCACACAGGGCGACAGCGGGGCCACGAAGGGCATGGACATGGGGCCACAGAGGGCGCGAACGCGCGGGGGCCACGAAGGGCATACGTATATTGGGCCGCGGAGGGCAAGGACGGGGCCACCGAGGGCAGCAACGGAGCCAAAAAGGGCAGCGAGGGGGCCACGAAGGGCGACAGCGGGGCCACGAAGGGCATGCATACGGGGCCACGACGGGCGAAAACGAGCGGGGGCCACGAAGGGCATACATATATGGGGCCACGAAGGGCAGCGAGGGGGCCACGAAGGGCTGCGAGGGGGCCACGAAGGGCAGCGAGGGGGCCACGAAGGGCTGCAACGGAGCCACGAAGGGCAGCGAGGGGGCCACAAACGGCTGCAACGGGGCCACGAAGGGCAGCGAGGGGGCCAGTAAGGGTTGCAACGGGGCCACGAAGGGCAGCGAGGGGGCCACGAAAGGGCGCAACGGAGCCACGAATGGCAGCGAAGATGCCACGAAAGACTGCAACGGGGCCACGAAGGGCAGCAACGGGGCCACGGAGGGCGGCGAGGGGGCCACGAACGGCTGCAACGGGGCCACGGAGGGCAGCGAAGGGGCCACGCAGGGCTGCAACGGGGCCACGAAGGGCAGCGAGGGAGCCACTAGTAGCTGCAACGGGGCCACGAAGGGCAGCGAGGGGGCCACGAAGGGCTGCAACGGGGCCACGAAGGACAACGAGATTCCGATATCTAAATAATCTGTGAGCGAGTCCTAAACGTGAGCGCGACTCCTGGGTACCTGAGCGTCGGGAGCGCGACGCTTGAGTAAATTGCTGGGAATTCCAAGGCAAGGGCGCTATTCTTGAGCAGATTGCAAGCATGTCTCCAGCGAGAA